GAGGAGAAAACATGAGCTTGGATTATAAATGGATAAACATGTAAAGATGGGCCAACCCATGGGGGAATAGTACCTGCTTCATCCTCAGAGGTTGGTTTCTCCATTGCAGTGGGGACCAGAAGTATTGAGATCAGAACATGGAATTTATTAGTGTTCTTCCTAGCACTGTTTTGTCCAATGGTTCTCATATGGTAAACAGTGACATCCCATTATAAAATCATCTCGAGATTATTATCCTGCTAGAATGAAACTTATTTTATTGACCTGCTGGTGAACACTTCACAGCCTACACCTTCTTTCAAAATAAGATAATCTGAAGGAAATCCTGTCATCAGAAAAGCCTCATCACCCCTTCCAGCAATGTAGATTTTTTGATGGCTCTGTTTTATATTCACCGACACCATCTGCTTCTTTCCCCATATAGTTCTTGTGAAGGAAGCTATGGAGGTTAACATTTTGAGTTCAGGCTGCTCTGCAAAGATGTAACAACTACTGGGTATTTTCCCAAAAGAATTAAAAGACTCATACCAGAATGCTATATGCCCACCCATGTTTATAGTGGCACAGTTTGTAATAGGTAAAACTTAGGAACAGCTCAATTGCCCATCAACTCGAGACTGCATAAAAAAGATGCGTTTTTTTTTGTTCTGTTTTTATACAATGGAGTACTACTCAGCCATAAAGAATGAGAAACTAGAGACATTTATAGCTAAGTGGATGCACCTCGAGGCCATACTCTTAAGTGAAATTAATAGGACACACCTCATATAAATACTGAATAGTTTGTCTGGTATGAAGAACTAAAAGTGTAAATGAGGGTCAACATGTATAACTGATATTGTGTAATAGGAAGAAAAGGTCTACAGGAGTGTGGGAAGTGGGAGGCGTAAGGGAAAGGTAAGGAGAGAATAGAAAAAATATGAGAAAAGCAAAACAAAAAATGGAAACAAATCTTTGTAAATAGGGAAGAGTGGGGGGTGAAGGCAGGGAAGGGCAATGGGGAAAAAATAAGAACCAAGATTCATCACATAAAGGTACAAGATCCCAATGATGAATGTAACTGCATCTTACACCTAAAATATACCAATAAAATTAAACAAAAACAAAACAGAACAAAACAAAACCCAAGTACTCTATATAAAGCCACGCTTCTCCTCAGATTTTATTTCACCAAACTTCCCAATTTCTTAGTGGATGCCGAAAATAAACGATTAACTACTTTGAAGAACACTGGGGCGTGGAACAGTTTGGGGTTTGGGTTATTTCACAATGATATAATATCTAGTCTCCTATGCCAATTTATTCTATTTGGATATTATTTGTCAGGCTTTATATACAGAAAATAAAAATCACTTCTGTTTGTCCCTGCAGTTCCACTCACCACGCTTTTCTACCCTACTTTGCTCTTCCTTTAAGCTACCTAACTTGAGTTTATTGTTTCCTGTTTGGCAAGGTCCTGAAAGATACAAGTATAGAAAATCAGAGTCAAATCCATGTTTTGTTGTCTAAATTTCATTGTGCTGAACTCCTTGTTAAAAGTGTTTGTCTGTTCAGATTGATTTTTATTTACAAGCACAGCAATATAGACTCTTTGCTGTCCACTTTTCACATGAACGGTGTGTTGTGGTTGTCTTTATACGGAGTCAGAGCCTGCTTTCCAGTCACTTCAGAGTATTTAGCTATCTGAGTACACTTTGTCTCACTACTGCATTACCTACTGGCAAATACTTTAATTGCTTTAATAACCTTTAAGTTTTATATACAAGAGTGGACATCTGTATGGATAAATCTGTGCACAGATTCACAACTGCAGAATACACTATCATATAAAATTTAAGGCTTCATAAATATTCTTTTACTCCTTAAGTGAAGTATGAGTTAGCACAGTGGCCTATTTTTAGAGCTGAGTAAGTGACTATACTTAATTTTTAAAGTCACTGCTTACTTCTTTTCAGAAGTTAATTGTAATGAATTGTCAATTTTTACAATAGAGCAAAAATAAAAAAAATTACCACATTTGTTTTCCTCTTTGTCCATAGCCTCTTATTAATGAGTTTTTAGATCCTTTTGCTGCATTAGCCAAAACAAACTGTTCTCTTAGGGATAAGTCCCTTAACTATTACTTCTAAACTGTAATGTTTTCAGGATCACTTGGTCACAGGCCTTTTGAGGTGCAGCTCTAATTAGCTCTGTATCTTCCTTTAGGTGGATATTATATGGCACTTTTTGTTAGAAAAGGTAGAAAGTCTGACTCCATAAAGCTTCTGTTTTCTTTATACAGGTAAAATGGGTGGATGGAAATAAATTTAACAGTGGGAAGGCTGTCTTTAATTTCCAGTATGAATTTATTTTGGAATTGGTACAAGTGTAAGTCATGTCCTGAGTGCCTGAGCTGAGCCTAAAACAAACTAGAGAGCACCCAGGAAAAACAATTGAATAGGTTGGTAAATTTATTATCACATTGGAAAAGACTGGCTTTGACTTTGAGTTAGAACCATGTAGTGCATAAGGACATTTGAAAATAAAAATTAGAAAAAGCCAGTTTTGTTGTATTTTGGATCCTGCATAGGTTGCAATTAAACATTCTGTTCTCAGTGATGACTGCAGAGAAACAGGCAAAGCATCTGATGACACATGAAAATTTAAAAATCTTATATTCTTTTCTACTTTAACGTTTTAAAGGAAATGAGAATAAAATCACCATCTTCTGTAAAACAGAAGCATGTTTACCTGTCAAATTTGCCAGATAGAAAAGTCTTACATACAGCTGAACAAAACATAAAATGTGACTGATAAACAAAAATCTAGATCTGAAAAATGCCATTTTGAAAGGGAATGTGGAAAATTTTAGAAAAAATTATACTTAAAATACTGGGTTTGCTTTATTTTTCTTGTTTTCTTCTGTGGTATAGAGTTAGAGTGTCTGGATTCATTTTTATCTATGAACTGTAAGTAGAATGAAGGAGAGATAAAAGCATGATTATATATAGGAATTTTTATAGGGCAAGAATGAGAGAGAAATAGAATCAAAGACCAAATATAAAACATGCTGAGTTTGTGGAGTTCTGTAACCTCACAATTACAAAGTAACTGTTTCATATATGTACATAGCACTTATTTGAAAATGATTCAGAATTCCTTGTACTTCCTACAATAAATAAAAGTGGACATGTGTAAATACCGAATAGTTTCCCTGGTGTGAAAAACTATAATTGTAAATAAGATCCTAATGGTTTAGTTGACAATGTGAAATTGGAAGAAAAGAACTAAAGGTGTAGGGGAAGTGGGACAGGTAGGGCAAAGGAAGTAAGGGAAAAGAAAAAAAAACTATGAGAAAATGAAAAAATGGAAATAAAGTTTTTGTAAATGGGGAAGGGAGGAGAGGGTAAAGGCAGGGGAAGGTATGGGGAAAAATGAGAACCAAGATCTGCCATGTAATGGTACAAGATCCCAATCTTGAATGAAACTACTATATACCTAAAATGTACCAATAAATTATATGGTTAAAAAAAGTGGAGGTTTTCTTAATTTAGAGGGGCTCATGCTTTACTTGGTCATGAAGTATTTTTGAGTAATAGAAAATTAGGAGTGAAGAGAGTCTGAGCTGAGGGAAACAATGAACTTGCCGCATTTCTAGATCAAGGCAGAATTGTACATTATTATCCTTTGGTTGAGTGCCTTCTCCAAATCTAAGAGATATTTATCAGTTCAGTTTAAATGGATGATTCTATGTTTGGAATCCCATTATAAGTACTTCCTCTGTAAATACTAAATGCCTCTAAATGCCTGGGAATATGTTTCAGAAGATTACTCAGTCCTATGTATGTCAACAAGAAGGATTAATAAAAAAAGTGCAAAGAAGTAAACCTTGACTTTTGCATTATGGTTATTTAATTCATGAATGTAGTGAATGTGTTTAAGAAATATTACTTTAAATTATAAATCTCAAAATGTAGATGGTTTCAAACACCATGTTCAGGAATTTCCCATTGCATATTTTTGATATCCAGGTGAATGAACATCATATCTTTGAGTTCCCATGTAGAAACCTTTATGTGAACTTTTCTCCATGTTATCAGTTGGATCTTTTTTGTCTGTCAAGTGACTTTAAAACTGCACTGCTCAATATTTATTCATTTCTATGTTACTTGACATTGGAATGTATATATTGGTAACCATTTTAGTACATCTATGTTCCACAGTTACATCTTATTTTGCTTTAAACTGACTTTAGAATAATGTCTTGGTGTAAACATAGCTAAGGGGGATTAGAGATCCAAAGAAGTCAATCCATAGTTGATTAATGTGTCTTTGCAAAACTCTTCTGAGAGCCCAGTGTTTAGAAATACAAAGCTGTAATTTGCATATAATGTTATGATCTGAAGAGTAGGTTAAGATAAACCACTCTTTTACTTAAGGATTTTGCTTCTTCTCATTATGAACTTACAACCCCTACTCTCTTTTGGGTTTTCCTTTTAATCTCTTCATTCTATTCTCTAATTATGTATCACTTCTGGAATCCTTCATTTTCTATTATTCTCTGACACTTCATAGCTCTATACAGTCTCTTTGATTATTCAACTATACAGTCAAGTGTATTTTTATTTGTTGTTCATTTAACACAGTACATTCAACTAAAGCTTTTGTAAATAAGTGTTTCTTACACTTCTCTTCTATTTTCCTTTTTGCTGTATTAACTATATTCTCATCAAGAGTATACAAGTAGTATTTCATATTGTACATTACCAAAAACTTGTTATTTTTTGACAGTACCATTATAACAGATGTGATATGCTATCTCATTGGGGTTTTAATTTGTAATTCCCTGATGATTAGGAATGATGAGCATTTGTTTATATACCTGATGAAGTGAAGGGTACTTTCAATGTTACAGGAACAATAGGTTTCTAAACTCAGTTCTCTCCTTCTAGGCTAATGTAGTTATCATATCTTACATTTTCTACTTTATTCTTCTACAAGTAGCACAGCCAAGAAGGCCAATGGATGGAGCAAATCAATCAGCTGTGTCAGAGTTCGTGTTCCTGGGACTCACTAACTCCCGGGCTATCCAACTATTCCTCTTTGTGCTCTCCTCCACTTTTTACATGGCAAGCATGATGGGAAACTCCCTCACTGTGCTCACAGTGGCTTCTGATCCTCACTTGCACTCCCCCATGTACTTTCTGTTGGCCAACCTCTCCTTCATTGACCTGGGTGTTTCTTCTCTCACTTCTCCCAAGATGATTTATGATCTCTTTAGAAAGCACAAAGTTATCTCATTTAGAGGGTGCATCACTCAGATCTTCTTCATCCATGTCATTGGTGGTGTGGAGATGGTGTTGCTCATAGCCATGGCCTTTGATAGGTATGTGGCCATATGTAAACCTCTCCACTACTTGAATATTATGAACCCCAAACTGTGCATCTTATTTGTACTGGCTGCCTGGATGATCGGCCTCATGCACTCCATGGTTCAACTGGCTTTTGTTGTAAACTTGCCTTTCTGTGGCCCTAATGTGTTGGATAGCTTTTACTGTGACCTTCCTCGGCTCATTAAACTTGCCTGCACAGACACCTACCGCCTTGAATTCATGGTCACAGCCAACAGCGGATTCATCTCTGTGGGCTCCTTCATTATACTGATCATTTCTTATATCGTCATCATTCTCACCGTTCAGAAACACTCTTCCACTGGTTCCTCCAAGGCTCTGTCCACACTCTCAGCTCACATCACGGTGGTAGTCTTGTTCTTTGGTCCTTTGATATTTGTCTATACATGGCCTTTTCCTTCCATGAACCTGGATAAATTTCTGGCCATATTTGATGCAGTAATCACTCCAACTTTGAATCCAGTTATCTACACATTCAGGAATCAAGAAATGAAGGTGGCAATGAAGAGAGTATGCAGACAGCTAGTGAGTTCTAGAAAAATTTCTTAAAGTGATTGCATTGTAAACATTTTTTTTGAACACAGAAAGTCATTGTCAACAATTAACCTCAGAATAATGTCTTCCTTGGCCTATTCTGAGATTCCTATCTGCCATGTTAGGCTCTTTTGGTTTCTACTTAGGAGTGAGGTACAGTCTTTCCTAAAAACAGAAAATTATTTCTACAATATGTTTATAAAAATTATGGTCAAATCTCTATTCCTAAGGTCTGCTATTTTTACAAAGTAAAGTCCCAGAAAACAAAAGAACTGTTGACCTCAAGAATTCAAAGAGGAAACATGTCTCTCTTTATATTAACAGGAATTATTCTTATGTGATATCAGACTTTTGGCAGTATTCCATAGTGATAAATGTATATGGATTTGCATCATCTGTCTTTTCTAGTTTAAACACACTTTTTCTCACATTTCTGGATTCTGCCCAGAATCTAAAGACGTTAGCATCACTCACAGGAGAATAAAGGATGCATGTCTTTGCCTAAAAGCCTTTGAACTTTTTTTGGAAAAACAGGAATGTATTGAGAAAACTTAATTGTCTACCTGTCTAATATGTTGTTACTAAAATTCATTCAATTTTCATTCTCCTTTCATTTCTCCTTGTATTTCTTCCTCATTCTTTTAACTTTAGTATGTTTTCACATCAGAGATCACCACAAGAAAAGTCTATGTGATATGCAGGTGGTAGTGCTTGAAGGTAGGTGCAGGGTAGATATCAAGGCACCCTACATATATTTCTAGTGCCTGCTACCTATCCTGATGAGTGCTGCATAATTAAGTTTCTTGGTTTCATTCAGGATCTCTTCCTTCTGTTGCTTTTCATTCTGAGTCCGGGGTTAAGTGCATCATTATCATGAATGTTACCAGGTTATATAGTCACCTGCATCATCAAAATTAATAGCACAGAGGGACATACAGAGTACTTTAATCTTTGTTCTCCATTTTATGCCCATTGTCCTGTGTGTACTGATCACTCCACTGACTTGAGTCCTGGAATGTAGTACCATGGCAATAGACCTATATAAAGTGTAATCCCTGTAATTCTTTATGTTTCACTATGATTCTTCTTCTCTTAGAAATCTTCGTGGGATATGAACTCAGTACATCTGCCTGTGGAGTGTTTTGCGGAGTTAGAGAAAGTGTTATCAGTCAGGATGATATCTACATAACGTGCCTGGTCAGGGCACACATTTTGTGTCAAATAACCTATCATAATGAGTTTATGTTGCATGGAATTCACTAGTGTACCCACATGTAAAATCACATGCAACCGACTTCGCAGACTAGTACAATAGTCAGCCTATTTGAAATTATAATTATTTTGGGGCTCCAATCTTTGGGATGATGGGGTGCTGTCTCTCACAGAATGCAGCAAAATCCTGTAATAAACTTCAAATCCAGGCAGTGTTAAATTTGTCATCTTTTTCTCCAGTTATGTATTTTACCTGGGATTCTAGAATCATTTCCACTCTCCATATTTCTGAAAGCCTAAGATGATAAGAGCTCACTGTCTTTGCTAGCATAGATTCCTTAATGTCTCTCACTTGTGCTTGTACACTACCCACCACCTTAAATGTCATTCCCTCAATCCCCAATTATGTATTTGTGTTTGATCTCTCTATCCAGAACTTTATTAATTCCCTTTTATATGAGTAAAGCAACTAAAAGAAACTCAACTCATATGCATGTATAGAAGTAAGTACATATAAAAATATCTGAAGGAATACATACCACATACCACATGACAGTTGCCTGTGGAAATACAAGTATGTGGAGTCCAAGGGAAGGTCATGATCAAAGGGTCTTTGGCTTTATTTATGAAACTTAATTCTTTTGAAGAACAATTTGTATTATTTTGTGTAGGGAAAACTCAAGAGTCCATGTGATGCAATTTAGAGATGAATTCTTTTGTCTTTGCCTTTGCCTGCTTGGCAATGTGAGCCTACTTTTGACCGAGGATGCTGCCTCTCAGGTAGACCTTATCACATCTGTCTTTGCAACAGCTGCTTATGACACTTAAACTGGGTTTTCAACTTCAATGTCTTGAAAGATTCCCAGAAGACTAGTAAAGCCCACTTCTGGATGCATCTAGGTGCATGATAGGTGTGATCATAGTCCATGGTCCCTGTCCTTCCGTCTCTTGCCCCCTGCTCCACTCCTGCCTACCATGAAGGAAGAAGCATTGATCCACCATATCCTTCTACCACGATGTACACTCATGAAAGCCGCTGACCTTGAACTAAATCTTCCAAACTGTAAACCAAATTAAAACCCCTTCTCTTTTCAGTTTTGGTTTTCGGTTATCATGCCCCAGGGACAGGAAAGCTGACTAAATACATACAGTTAATACCAGAGAAGTGGGCTCATTGATTTGACCATATCTGAGAAGATGGTTCAGAAGCATTTGGCATTGTTGCTGGAAGGCTTTGGAGAAGTCTGGAGAAAGGGGCTAAAGGGAGCCTTGAATGGTAAAAGTGGAGCTGGAAGGGTAATTCTTGTCAGAGCTCAGAATGCTGATGTGATTGTAAGCAGTGAAGTCTTGGCTTAGGAGGTTTCAGAGAGGAATGAAAAGTCTCCTTGGAATTGGACTAGAGGCCATGTGTGTTATACTCTGCAGAGAATTTGTATACATTTTGTCTATGTCAGAAGGGTGAGGCTACACGGAAGGTGTCAGACCAATAAATCTGGTGCTATAAATTTCAAGAGAACCCACAGTCCAAGCTGGGGCATGGGTAGTGCTTGCTGCTTTTAGTCAGATTTAGAGCAGGAGTTAGGAGCCAAAAGAGGAGGAGGAAGATCTGAGAACCATAAAATTTGGTCAGCAATGGAGTACAGATAAACTTGAGGCCAATGGAGGTATGGTTGCTGAAGAGATTGGTATCATTAAAAAGATACTTTGAACCAGGGCAAACATAAAGATGCCTTCGTAGTATTGCAGAAATCAGGGTACAAAAATATAAACCTTTTCTTTGCGATGAGAGTCTCTGGGACCTCTGCTGGAGAAAGGCCACCAAGGTGATTAATTTCCTGGGGGTGATTTTACCATGCTAGCCATGATGCAGGCACTCAGGGGCCACAAAAGCCATGGTCCAAGGGAGCCCTGCTTCTGCTTGCACCTTGTCATTTTCCATGTCGTGTAGGTTTTTTTGCAGGCAAGAAGAATGAAAAATTGTGGGGTTGGGGAGGCTTTCACCCAGATTTTAAAAGAATGTCTGGGAAGCCAGGAAAGGTAGCTCTAAGGGGCAAAAACATGAAGTTGTGGGAATGAGGGCAAAGATGGAGACCACAGAATTTTATAGATGCCAGGAACATAGTTTGTTAGCTGATTAAAGCTGCAGGCCATGAGTGATGCCATCCCATATGAGGTCACTTGGGTTGCAACTGAGAAATTCAGAGGGTTCAGGCTGCCCCAAATCCTTTGACGTGCACATCTCACCATTGATTGCCTTGGAGGCTTCTCATCGAGCTACCAGATATGTTGCTCGGCTGAGTTTGAGTCTTTGTTTGATCCTGTTCTTCTTTATCTGCACTCTTCCCTTTTGAAATGGAACTGTTAATACTGTATAACAGTGTGTTGGGAATATGTAATTTGTTTTTTGAAATTTCAGGGGTTCACAGTTAAGAATTTGTCCTGAGTTTCAGCAGACTTTGGCCTTTGACTTTTGAACAATGCTAAACTGTGGAATCTCTGGAGGAGGGCATTAGTGGACTTTCTGTTGAAAGCATTATAGTTGTATCACATTAGGTGGAATTATGACTATTATCTTGTTTAGTAATTAAATATGATTTATCTTTGCCTGTGAAGTCAACAATGGGTAGCACATGAAACTTAATCTGGATTATCAATTTAATTGGCTTAAGGGCTGTGGAGAGCTTTAGTAAAGTACACTTCTACGTGTAGCTTGGTGGTTCATGGAGGTGTGACCTTGGGACCTATATCTGGTGCCTTTCCCTTTTTGCTCTGGTACCATTCCTCTGCTTTGCTTTGGCAGCCATGGACTAAAAAGGTTTGCTCAACCACACCCTTCTGCCATGATGTTCTTGTCCTGGACCTAGCCAACCAGGCACTGAGTCCTCTGAAACACTTGAGAGAAATTAAACTTCTCCTGTTAAGTTGTGGGTGTTAGGCATTGTTCCTCAGCAATGGCACAGGTGAGTAAGCCTGCCCTGGTAGTTTTCACAAACCCTGTTTTCTGATTTAACTTGTGTAATGGTCACAGTGGTGCACATCTTCCTGTGGATCAGGCATGTATGCGTGGTCTTACTTGGACAATGGATGGGGGAATCACATCTTCTAACCCAGGGCAGATAGAAAGACAGCCAGACCTATGGTGTCCATATCTTGTTCATTCAACACTGGCTATGATTTCTTGTTCTTCACTAAGGTGGCAATAGTATTAATCCCAGTTGAAAATCCTGCAGTTTCTTAATGTGTATGATCTCATTGTGGGAAGCTTCTTTCTCGGCCTGGGGCAGTAGCTGCTATTACTTTTTCTGCTTCTCTTATGTTTGTACTCATGAATTAACTTACACAGTTGAATGGCTGTGCGGTGGTCCAAAGCCTGGGTGAGCCAGTTAATCACAGGTGGTGCATTGAGCTGCTTATAGAGGAGAACCCTTTGCTGGAGCTGGCACCAAAAGAAAAGTACCCAGCACTTGCTCATTTGATA